GCCGCGGCCGCGACCGCGGCGGCGGCGGCTCCGGGGGGTCCGGCTCCGGCGCGTCGGGCCAGAGCGCGTCCGCCGCCGCCGCGGTCGCGCTCGCGGCGGCGCTCGCGGCGGCGAACGCGGCGCGGCGCGCCAACGCCGCTGCGGACGCCGCGAACGACGACAGCGCGGCGGCGAAGCGAGAGATCGACCGTCTCGACGCGGCGGCGCGACGGATCGAGTCTCGCCGCGCGTCGCTGAAGCGACAGCTGGAGGAGGTGGACGCCGCGGACGAGGACATTCGACGGCGGCGGCGCATCGCGGCGGCGAGACTCAGCGGCGGCGCGACCGGCGGCGCGACCGGCGGCGGCGCGGTGAGTAAGTATCGGTGGACCGCAGCGGCGGCGGCGGCGCCGGCGGCGCCGGCGCGCGACGCGAAGCTGTCGAAGCTCAAAGCCGAGTTGGCGACGATGGCGACGCGACGCGCGGACATCGACCGCGAGATGGCCGCGGCCGCGGCCGCGATCGCGGAAGACGAGATCGCGAGGAAAAAGGCCGTGCTCGAGCAGCGAAGAGAGGCTCGAGAGGACGCGGCGCGGCCGGCGGAAGGAGGCGGCCGCGGCGCTTTCGATTCGGCGCCGCCGCCGTCTTCGTCGTCGTCGACGTCGACGTCGTACGTCAGTCCGCTCGTGATGTTCGCCGCGTACCGCGCCGGCGGCGACGCCGTTCTTCAAGGCGACGTGTACATCCCTCCCGCGGTGCTGAAGAAAGGCCGAGGGAAGGCGCGCGTCGGCGGCGGCGCGCTGAGCGTCACGGAGAAGAACGCTCCCGGGGTATTTTCTCAACGCGTCGACGCGTCGCGCGCGTTGTGTCCGTATGACCTCCGAGGACTGTGCCACGACCCGAAGTGCCCGTGGCAGAGTCGAGACGATTACGTTCTGACGCGCGAGGAGAGAAAAGCCGCGCACGACGTGTTTAGTAGAAGTAACGGTCGTGTTCGGTCGGGGGGTGACGTGTTCAGTGTTCGGTCGGTTATCACGCCGCACGAGAAGTACCCCGAGTGCCTCGCGTTGCGGTCGATTAACTTCGACGCGAAGCCGTTGAGACGACACGCGACGACGAGACGTAGGAAGTGGCTGCTCTCGAGCCAAGGGAAGGACCCGCCGGAGGTGAAGACGCCGCTGTACAACTCGCCGTCGGTCGCGAGGTTGGAGGGAAGGGGCATCGGCTGCGTCGTGCGGTCGGTCGTCGCGCGCGTCGGCGAAGAGCCTCCCGAGCTCGCGACGCGGGGGTATCGATACTTCAACTGACGACGCGAGCGCGATTGTTTTCTTTCGAGGCGACGACGACGACGACGACGGCATGTGCGTATGTACACTACAGCACTACTTAGATCTTACAGCAGTAGAAATTGAAACGTATCGGAAATGTAGACGAACGCGCTGTTCGTGCGCTTCCGCGCTCCCCGCCCGGGGAGGTCGTCTCGGCTCGGTGTCGTTCACGCCGCGGGCTGGACGGCTCTGCGGAACCGCCCGTAGTTGCGGTTATCCGTCAGATCGAACGGGTTAACCGCGTTCTCTTCCCAGTTCGCGTCGCGGCGGAACCGCCCGTAGTTGTTGTTGTCCGCAAGGTCGAACGGGTTGAACGCCTTCTCTTCCCAGTTGGCGTCGCGGCGGAATCGACCGAAGTTGTTGTTGTCCGCGAGCGAAAACGGGTTCTTCCAGTCGAAACCCGACACGGGGGCCATGTCTTCGGCGGCGGCGACGTCGGTCTCTTTCGCGCCGCGGCGGAACCGTCCGTAGTTGTTGTTGTTCTCGAGGTCGAACGGGTTGAACGCCTTCTCTTCCCAGTCCGCGTCGCGGCGGAACCGTCCGAAGTTGTTGTTGTCCGCGAGCGAGAACGGGTTCTTCAGAACGAAACCCGACACGGGGGCCATGTCTTTGGCGGCGGTTTGCGGCTTCTCGCGGCGGAACCGCCCGACGTTCGCCTTCTGCGTCACCTGCCTCAGCGCCGCCGGGTCGCCTTTAACGAACCCGTCGTGCGAAAACTCGAGGCGCGCGTCGTCGTCGTTGCCGAGCTTGTGGAACCCGTAATTGTTCAGCTCACGCTTGAATCCGTTGATGTTGACGCGCGCGGGGAACACCGGGAGGACGCCGACGAGCTTCTTCTCGAACGCTTTCGCGTCCTTGACGACGAAGGATTTGCCGTCTTTGTTCCAGGAGACGACGTCGGACGCGGACGGGTCGCTCACGAGCGTGTGAAGCTTCCTGCGACGGCGACGGAAAGATGTTTCGGAGGGTGAGAAAAAAAAAACACGTGGTCGTCGACGTGCCTGTCGACGTCAACGGGTTGCCTAGGCGCCAGAGACGCCGCGGACGCGCGCGTTCGCGACGGATATCGTCGCCGAGCGCGTCGAGTCGCGAGCGGCGCGCGCGATTCGACGAACGCCGCGTCGCGCGCGACGCGCGCGACGCGCGCGCGAGGCGTCGCGCGCGCCGAAAGTCGCGTCCGACTGCCGACGGCGCCGAGCGACGCGTCTACGTCATCGGCCCGGTTGCCCAGGTGCCAAAGACGCCGCGGAGGCGCGAGTTCGCGACGGATATCGTCGCCGCGCGCGTCCCATCGCGAGCGACGCGCGCGATTCGACGAACGCCGCGCCGCGAGCGACGCGAGCGACGCGCGCGCGCGGCGTCGCGCGCGCAGAAAGTCGCGCGCGATCGCGAAAGACGCGACGTTTCGACGGCACGGGCCGGGCACGTAAGTTAGTGCGGGGAGAATCGAGGATCGAGGGGGAGCGCGCACATTATGAACGGCGACACCTTGACGCGATCGAACGCGTAAGGGTTGCACGAAGGGCGGCGAGCGTGAAGGTGCGTGGGGGCCATCGTTTGTGGAGTGTCGTGTGCGTGCGTGAGGTGGTCGGGCGTGCTGTAGTGCGCGATGGGTGCGTGTGTTTTCAGGACTTAAACGTCCCGCGAAAATTGAAACGCCGAGACTTCGCGCCAAGTTTACGAAAGGGCACGGTGCTGAAAGGTGCCCACGAACCGTCGCGAAAAAATCGTATGCGCGTCAGTCTGAAATTAATACGTGCCTTCGCCGTTCGCGTGCCTCCCACGAATTCAAGGCGCCGTCCACGGTGGCAAGCACGCCGTGCCGTTACTCTCCCGACGACACTTATCCGCGCGCGCGTGCCCGCACAGACACGCACACGCACACACTCCGCGATGGCCGTCTTCCTCGCCGCTCCCGCGTCGCGCGCGTGCGCGACGCGACGAGTCCTCGCGCGAAGCGCGTCCGCGACGGCGACGCGCGCGCGCGCGGCGCCGCGCGTCGCCGCGCGTCGCGAAGTGAGATCGTCGTCGTCCGCGAGCGCGCGCGGCACCGCAGATCTTCTCGGGTTCGGGTTCGCGCGCGCGGCGTCCGCCGGACGCGTCGCGCGCTCGTCCGCCGCGGAGACCTCCGGCGACGCGGAGACCTCCGGCGTCGTCCTCCTCGACCCTCCTCCCGCGCCCGCGCCCGTGCCCGCGCCCGCGGCGGCGCCGGCGGCGACGACGACGACGCCGCCCGTCGACGCGTCGCAAACGTCGCTTCGACGCGTCGCGCGACACGTCCACCGCGAGGCGGAGTACGTCTTCGTTCGATTCTCGCTCCTCGCGACCGGCGCGTTCGTCCTCATCGGCGTCTGCGCGTCGCTCGCGCTGTCCGCGCTGCTGTTCAGCATGGGCGTCAAGGAGGTGCTCTACGAAGCCGTGGGCGCGTGGATGCAATTCTCGCCGGTGGGGCTCGGTGCGTTCTATCTCACACTGGTTCCCATACGACCGCGTCGGCGTGGTGAACGCCGTTCCTTAAGGACTTTTCCCGGCGTCTCTCTCCGCCCAGGGTCCCTCGCTTTCAATACCCGACCGCGACGCCTTTCAACTATTACTGACGCCTTTCAACTCCACCCCGACGTCGCGAGAATAGTCACCGCCGCCGTCGGCGCGCTCGACCGCTTCCTCCTCGGCATGGTCTGCCTCGTCTTCGGCCTCGGAAGCTTCGAGCTGTTCTTAGCGCGAAGCTCGAGGAAGGAAGAGCAGCAGCTCGCGAAGCGCGTGAACAAGCCGCTGTGGCTGAGAGTGCGGAGCATAGACGACTTGGAGCACAAGGTTGGCGAGATCATCGTCGCGGTGATGGTCGTCAACCTGCTCGAGATGTCGCTGCACATGACGTACTCCAAGCCCGTGGATTTGGTGTGGGCCGCGCTCGCGGCGTTGGCGTCCGCGGGCGCGCTCGCGCTCCTGCACTGGAGCTCGGAGAATCACTGCGGGAAGGACGACGACGCGCCCTGCGCGGTGCACTGAGTCGTCCTCTCGCCGCCGTTTGTAGACGCGTGCGCGCGTTCGTTTGTAATTTCAATTTTCAAGTCTACCGAAAAAACCGTTTTGCGTTTGCTGCTATTTTAGGCTACTACTCCTCGTGAGCACCTCACGCGTCCGCGGCGAGGAGGTGCGGTCTGGCGCACTTCAACACGATGACACGCCCTGCGCGGTGCACTGAGTCGTCCTCTCGCCGCGAGAGCATCGAATCGTATGCGGCGGCGGCGGCTACGCGCTCCTGTTACGAAAGTACTCCTGAATGTGCTCGCGGACCAGCGCGGCCGCGGCGGCGACTTGCTCGGGGGCGCCCTCGATGACGCAGACGCCCTGCGAGTCGTTCAACACGCGAATGGACGCGCCCGTGCGCTCGCGCAACGAGCGGATGTTGTTACCGCCCTTTCCGATGAGCCGCGACTCCGCGCCGGCACACGGGATGGTCTCCCTCGCGACGCCGACGACGGAGCCGGCGGCCGCGCGGTCCGCCCCAGGCGGGGCGCCCATCACCGCGACCTGCGAGATGATCTCGCGAATGGCAGCGGCGGCGCCCTGCGCGCCGGGTCCGATGACCTCCGTGACGCCGTGCCCGCGCTTGAGTTGGATGCACACGCCGAACCTATCCTGCAAGTCGCGGATCGTCCCGCCGCCGTGGCCGATGATCATTCCCTCGTGCCCCGCGGTGCCCTCGACGATGACGACGTCGTTCGCCCCGCCGCCCGCGGCGGCGGCGGATTGCGCCGCCGCCGCCGCGGGTTCCGCGCCCGCCGGCGCGCCGCGCGCCGGCTGCTTCGCCGGGCGCTCGTCTTCACCTGGTCCCGCGTTCCCGCGCTCTCCCTCTTCCGCGTACGCCGTGTACTTCGCCGCGCTGCCGCGGCACCGATCCGCGGGGTACTTGGCCGCGTTCTTCGCCATCTTCGCGCGCGTCGCCGCCGCGAGGTCGACGCCGCACCGATCCGCGAGGCGCACCAAGTACAGCTGCACGTCCGCGAGCTCGTCCTCGAGCCGCGCTCTGTCCTCGCGCGACCAGCTCGGCAGCCCCGTCGCGCAGTCGTCGTCGCCGCGCCACTGGAACAGCTCCGACACCTCGCCGACCTCGCCGACCATGGCGAGGAGGACGTTGCGAGGCGAGTGGAACTGATCCCAGTCGCGCGCGCGCGCGAACGACGCCTGTTCGCGCCTCAGATCCTCCAGCGTGACGCGCGCGTCGAAGCCGCCGAACGCGGGAGGCGACGGTCGCGCGGCGGCGTCGGCGTCGGCGTCGGCGTCGAACCGCGCGCTGAGCGTCGCGTCGCTTCGGGATTCGGAGAGCGTCGTCGTCTTGGAACGCAGTTCGATCGGTTTGTTTCGGCTCTTGTTCACGCGGATCGGCGGAGGGACGTGCGGCGCGGGATCGTCGACGTTCCTCGGCGCGTCCGCGTGGCCGTTGCTCCTGACGTCGAATATCATCTTCATGTGTTTCACGCCGGCGGCGAGGAGGATGTCGGGGCATTCCTTCGCGAGAGCGTCCACTTTGCTTCCGGCGCCGTACCAGTCGTGGAGGGTAAGCTTCGACTCGGGGTGCGTTCGGTACAACTCGGAGATCACGAGGCTCGCGAGCGTGCCGCACGAGCCGGTCATGTCCGCGATGGCGTTCGCGTAATACCGCGGATCAATATATCGCGGAGGAATATTCTCGTACCCTTTAGCCATCGTGGCTCACCTCTCTCGCGCGCGGGAGTGTTCGCCCGTGCCTCAGATCTGGAAAAGCGGGTGCCAAAAAATACTGTATTTTTAGTAACAGGCTCGCGCCGCGCGTGCGCCACCGTCCTCCTATCGCATCGTCCATCCACCGTGCCTTGATCCATCACATCGCCCTGTACGCCGCCAGGACGTCCTCCACGCGCCCGAACGCCTCGTCGAACTCGCCCTCGCCGACGCCGTGCTCCGCGTACTGATGCAGATACGCGCCCGCGTGCTTCATCTGAGGGCCGTTCCATACGAAACAGATGGTTCATCGGTCAGTTGAAAGGTGGCGCGATCAAATGTTGAAACCGAGCGGTGGGTGAAAAACGTTTTTTTTTAACCTGATACGCCCTCGCGAGCATCCGCCCGATCGGCGGACACGCGCTCTGGCAGTTGCTCAGCAGCGTCAACGACGCGTCGTACCCGCAGAATCGCGCCCCAGAGTGCGATACAGACAGCGGCGACGGCGTCCACGTTGGGAACAGCCGCGGGTCGGACAACGCGCCGACGTCCGCGTCCTCCGCGCCCTTCCCTCTTAGAAACGCCATCGCGGCGAGGCACCTCGTGACGACGCGCCCGCCGCCGTCGCCGCCGGGCTCCACCCCCCAGTCTAACCCTTCCTCCAACGTCGTCCCCGTGAGTAACATCTGCCGCGCGCGCTTGATCAGCCCGGGCCACGCGAACGTCGTGAAGTCCACGCTCGTCTGCGGCATCATCGGCACGGACCGCAGCGACAGAAGACGCATCGTCGGGTCGCAGCACGCCCCGCGCGAAACGTCGTGGAGCAGCATCAGCTTCCGTCCGCATCCCGCGCCGCCCGCGGGTGTTACACCCCTCGCGACGCTCGGGAGTAACACCCCCGCGAGCTGCGTCGCGGCGACGCCGTTCATGTCGTCGAACGTCGGCCGCTTAATCTTCAGCGCGCCGACACACGCGCGATGGAGCTGTTCGTTTTGCACGACGCACACGCCGTCCGACACGTTCAGCAGCGTCGATAACGTCAACAGCGTGTTGTAGCACTGCACGATGACCTCGCCGCTCTCGTACGGCCACACGCAGTGGTTCAGGATCGTCGCGCCGCGGTGCTCGTCGCGGATCGCCTCGGCGACGAACGCGCCGAGGCCGGCGCCGGTGCCGCCCGCGAGCGACTGCGTCAGGAGGAATCCGCCGAGGTGGTCGCATCGCTCCGCCTCGCGTCGAACGAGCTCCAGGGCTTCGTCGCGCACGAGGCCGCCGTAGGTGTTGTACCCGCGCGCCCAGTTGTTCCCGCTGCCGCTCTGGAACGCGAGCGCGCTGTTCGCGTCGTACCGCCATCTGTGCGACGAGCGCCGCGCGCGCTTGAGCGACGACGCGATGACTTTCGGTTCCATGTCGATCAACACCGCGCGCGCGGTGGGGGAGGAGGAGGAGGAGGAGGAGGAGGACGGCCTCGCCGCGCCGTCGCCGCTGCGGAAGAACGCCTGCGTGCGTGCGGTGGAAGAGAGAGAGAGAACGAGTGCGAGAGGTGAGATGCGCGAGCGCGGGGGATGGACGCGGAGGAGGAGAGCGCGGCGCCCGCGGGCGAGGAGAGAAGTCGGCATCTTCTCTCTCGAGAGTGAGAGAGAGACGACGCGCGCGCGCACCTCGTGAATCTCGTCGCGGACGCTCGGCGACGACGCCGCCGCCTCCCTCGCGAGCGTGTCGAACAGCTCGCATCCGACCTGGTTTCCGCACTGCCCGAGCTGCACGGTCACGACCGAGCCGGGCATCGTCCTCCGCCGCGACCCGTCCTCGACGCGCCGTCTGTGTGGTCGCGCCGCGGTTCAAACTCTGTCGTCCTCGACTCGTCGCTGATGAAGGCGAGGTGCCGCGTCGTGCTGGCATATCGACCGACCATTGATCGAGGAGGGGTTCCGATCAAAAAGTGCTGAAAGGGTTTTTTTATCGCAAGAACCGATCAAAAGCTGAACGCAGGTGAAAGAAAATCCACCTTCTGGTCAGCGCTTCGTAGGAACGCGCCTCTCATCACTCGTCGATCGCGCCCCGACGCTCCGCCGCGCTCATGGTGGACCCGACGCACGAGTACAACCACGACACGTGCCCCGCGTGCGCCGGCCACGGCCAGGTCGCGACGAGCGACGGCTTCGCCGCGTGCGCGTCGTGCAGCGGCAGAGGCGCGTGGGCCCCGCCCGCGTCGTGCTGCGCCGCGCACGACAAGGGCGGTAATAAAGGAGGATGCGAGACCGGGCACGGCGCGAGCGACGCGAAGCCCAAGCCGCGGCTGCGGTCGCACGGCGCGTTACCCGCGGCGAACATGCGCGAGCTCCTGACGCGCGTCGACCTGGAGGACGAGGACGGGAACCTTCTCGACGCGGCGAGCGCGTTCGAGGGGAAAGTCGTCGCGCTCTACTTCTCGTCCGCGACGTGCCCGGCGTGCGCGAGCTTCACGCCGAAGCTCGCGCGGCTCGCGACGGATCACGCGCGCGACCTCGTCGTCGTGTACGTCGGCGGCGATCGCACGGAGGCGCAGGCGGAGGGGCCGCACACGCGGGGGCGCGGGTTCCTGCGCGTGCCGTGGCGATCGGTGCATCGCGAGGTGTTGCTTCAATCCTACCGCGTGTTCGCGATACCGCAGGTGGTGGTCTATCACCCCGTGCGGCAGAAGACGGTGACGACGTGGGGGCACACCGCGATCAGGCGCGTTCTGTTCTTCTGTGCCGCGCTCGCCGGTCCTCGAGGACTTTATTACTTCCCGGCTCGCCGGTCCTCGAGGACTTTATTACTTCCCGGCTTCGTTTTCTCTCCGCGCATGCACCCCTCGGTTTCGATCCCGACGCACACGCCTCGGCGCCTCACGACTCCACCATTCACGATTCATTCACGACATTCACCTCACGACTCCACCGTTCTGACGCGCCCCCGAACTCCACCCCGACCTCGTCGCTTCGTACTATGGACCCTCCCTGACCCTCAGCGTGAACCCGGGGAAGTGCGTCAGCGCGTGGAAGAGAGGAGAGACCGGTTACTCGTTGCTGGAGATGCTCACGCCGAGCTCGTGTTCCGGCGCGTACGACGGCGTGCCCAGCGTCGTCTCCTCGCAGTCGACCGGATACGCGAAGTGATATACTTTAACATATGATACTATGATATATGTTATACTATATGATATATGTTATGATAGTTACCCTCTCGCGTACGTCCCCGGGGCGTCGTCCCGCGGCGGGTTCGCCTCCGTCGGCGACCCGTCGATCTGCCGAATGGCTTCGTACACGCCGACGCCCGCGCTCACCGCCAGGTTTAAACTCCGGACGTGGTCCTCGTCTATGGGTATCCGGCGTATGCCCCCGCTCCGCGCGCACGCGTCGTGCGCCTCGTCCGGTAACCCCGTGGTCTCCGCGCCGAAGAGGAGCCAATCGCCGGGGAGGTACGCGCCCTCTTCCGCGTGCGGCCGGGCGCCGAATTTGCTGAGGGTCGAGGTCGGGGTGGAGTTCAAAGGCGTCAGGGGTGGAGTTGAAAGGCGTCGAGGTGTGTCGGGATCGAAAGCAGCGAGGGGGTGGGCGGAGAGAGACGAACGCCGGGAGAGAAAGTCCTCAAGGAATCGCATGCACCGCGCCGACGCGGTCGTATGGGGACCAGCGTGATGGACACAGAACGCGCCTGAACGCGACCAGACGACCGGGGGCCCCGAGGTCGACGGACCAGTACGCGTAGAACGCGTCCCAGTCGTCGTGCACGCGCACGCACACGCTGTGCCTGCGACGGGCGGGAGGAGATGGACGATGAGCGGGATGGACGGAGGGGCGCGACGGCGACGGGGAGGGGGGAGCGCGTATCGATCGATAGATCAATCGGTCGATCGGTCGGTCTATCGATCGGTCGAACGCACCAGTAGTCGAGCCCCGCGCGCTTGAGCTGGCTGTCCTCTAACGTGAACCCTAACGGCCCGACTAAGTGCAGCGGCACGCGCGACGCCGCGCACGTCCGCGCGATCGTCCCGGTGTTCCCCGGGATCTGCGGCGAGACGAGCACGACCGCGAGGTCCGCGCGCTGATTTTCCGCCGCGAGCTCGACGCCGTCGCGGCTCTTTCCGGCGAAGAGGTTCGCCGCGCCGCTCCCGCTCGACGCGCGCGGCGTCGTCGCGTTCGCATCGCGCGGCGCGGGAGTCGCGCGGTGACGCTTCGCGAGGAGCGCGTTGAACGCGCGCGGGAGGACGAGGTACGGCATCGCGCGCGGCGTGCGGTGCGGTGCGCTCGCTCATTCATACACCGTTGCCCTAAGCTCACGAAACCCCCGAGACTCGACTCGTCCGCGTCCGCCAGCTGTACAACGTTGTACTCATACTCCGCTCGCTCACGGCGTCCGCGGCGGGGTCTTCGGCCGCGCCGTCGCCGGTCTCGGGCTCGCCATCGCCGCGAGCGCCGCCCTCGCGGCCCTTTCCGCGATGCTCCTCCCTCTCCCCGGCGGCGCGACGGTCGAGCTCTGGTCTTCCCGTCCCCCCTCGCCGCGTCGCCGTCGCGCCCACGCCGCCGCCGCCGCTTTCTTCACCGAACCGCCCCCTCCCCCGCCGCCGCCGTCGCCCTCCGCGTTCTCCTTCTCCGCGCCGCGCCGTCGTCCTCGTCCGCGCGGCGTCGGCGTCGGCGGCGAATAGCGCTCCCGCGGCGTCTCCCCCGCGCCGAGTAACGCTCGGTTCGCGCGCGTTCGCATCGCCGCTCGGTACGCGCGCGTCGCCGCCGCCTCCACGGTTGCGTCCACCTTCGCGCGCGCGCGCGCCGCGCTCGCGCTCGTCGTCGCGGCGTCCGGCGCCGGCGCCTTCGTCCGCGTCGTCGCGCTCGCCGCGCGCGTCTTCACCGGCGTCGCGAAGATCTCGCGCGAGGGCGACGTCACGACGAGCACCGCGTCCGTCGCGTCGTCGTCGTCCTCCTCCTCCTCCTCCGACTCCGCGTCGAAGAGACGCGTCGCTCGCGATGTTGACGAGAACAGCAACGACGCCGCGGCGGCTTCCTTCTCCGCGGTCGCCTCGAGCGCGACGTGCTCGAACATCTCCGCCGCGCTCGGTCGCGACGGCGGCGGCGACGGCGACGCGACGGGCGCGGCGTTCGCCGCGCGGCGCGCGCACGGCTGACATCGCGTCTGAGCCGTGGTCGTCGTCGTGGCCATCATCACGGCGAGCTCGTGCCTCAGCGACTCGTTCTCGTCTCGCAGCGCCGCGACCTCCGCCTCCGCGGTCTTCGCTCGGAGGAGCGCCGCTCGCAGCCTCGCCTCGGGGGTGTCTTCGAACGCGAACGACGACGCGAGCGCGGCGGCCGCGCGCGGCATCGTCGCGTCGTCGTGCCTCCCCCCGTCGCGCCAGATGGAGTGCGGCGCCGCGCCGCGCGAAATGCCACGCCAGCGCAGCGCAGCAGCGCGACGAGCTGCTTCGGAGTTTGAAAGGCTCGCTCGTTTGGGCGGAGGAAAGAGACGCGCCGCGCGCACTTCATAACGCGCGAGAGGACGGCCTGATCGTCGCTTCGCGCCGCCATGAAGCTCGATTTCAGCGTCCTGGACGCGCCGACGCGGAAGATCGACGCGGAGATCGCGGAGTGGTGCGTCCCCGCGCGCGATCCCGCGCGCCTCGTCGCCTTCGCGTCCGCCCAGCCCTGAGATCTCGCGCCTCGAAGAGGCGACGACGACGACGACCGCGCGCTGACCTCGCGCCTCCCCACCCCCTCCGCATCGCGCCCCCCAACCCTTCCCTCGATCGCAGCGCCGCGGAGATCAACTCCGACGTCCACGCGCAGAACTTCAAGCTCCCGATGGTCGAGAACGTGCGTCGTCCCTCCCCCGATCCCTCCCCAGCGCGCGCCTCGACGTCATTTCTTAGGGTTGCCAACGGACGCCGCGCGCGAGATCCGACGACCGATCGCCGACCCCCCCCCGCCTCCATCGATCCTCCCCCCCATCCCGCAGTACGACTCGTTCCAGCGCGAGGTCGTGGACTACGTCAAGCCCAACCACGGCACGACGACGCTCGGGTTCATCTTCGAGCACGGCGTCGTCATCGCGGTGGACTCGCGCGCGTCGCAGGGGCCGTACATCTCGTCGCAGACGGTAAAGAAGGTGATCGAGATCAACCCGTACCTCCTCGGAACGATGGCCGGCGGCGCCGCGGACTGCCAGTTCTGGCAGCGGAACCTCGGGATCCAGTGCCGCCTCCACGAGCTCGAGAACGGCAAGCGCATCAGCGTCTCCGGCGCGTCGAAGCTGCTGTCGAACACGCTTTACGGCTACCGCGGGCAAGGGCTGTCCATGGGGACGATGGTCGCCGGGTGGGATCTCAACGGCCCGGGTCTGTACTACGTCGACAGCGACGGCACGCGGTTGAAAGGGAAGCGGTTCAGCGTCGGGTCCGGGTCGCTGTTCGCGTACGGCGTGTTGGACCAAGGGTACAGGTGGGATCTGAGCGTCGAGGACGCGTGCGAGTTGGGGCGAAGGGCGATCTACCACGCGACGTTTCGAGACGCGTTTTCCGGCGGCACGGTGAGCGTGTATCACGTGGGGCCGGACGGGTGGACGAAGATGTCCGGCACGGACGTCGGGGAGCTGCACTACGAGTACTACCCCGCGGATCCGATCGCGACGGAGGCGGAGGCGGAGGGAGGGGGGGAGGAGCCGGAGAGCATGGAGACGTCCGAGCAGAAGTGAGGGTCGCGAGTGGAACGGCGGACGACGGCGGGGCTGTAACGAAACTCCTTATTTCTCGGAACTGCCGCTCTCGTTTCTTCGACCACGACGCGCGTCCGTCGTTCGCACTGTGCCGCGCGCGCGATTGGGACGATACGATGATGACCTTGCTCTCGCGCGTCGCGGGCGTGATGTTCTCCTCGCGCGATTCCCTCCGCGACCACACGCCTATCGCGCACCTCTCTCCGAAAACGCCCGAAGAAGAGCGTGCTCCTCCGAAGTCGCGATACGTGGGCGTGGTCGCGGGCGCGTGGAAGAAATCAAAAAAGACTTGGGTAGCTCAGCACGGCGGTGAGCTAGGGAGATTCCCCACCGAGCTCGAAGCCGCGGAGGCGTATTGCAAAGCACTGGGGTTTCCCGAACCTCTGCTTCGGGTGGAGGGCGAGTGCGGAAGAGCGACAGTAAAACGAGAGCGACTTAAATACGAGCGGCCGTCTGACTACAAAGCTGCTCCCAAGTCGCGATACGTAGGCGTAACCGCGAGTGGCAACTGGAAGACCGCGAAGAACAAGTGGCAGTCGACGTTCCGTGGTAAGTACGTGGGCACTTTCGCGACGGAGGAAGAGGCGGCTCAGGCGCACGCGGACGCGAAAGGCTGTCCGGGCCCGGTCCTTCGCGAAGGCGGCCTTCGCAAGCGCAAGAACCCCGACGACGCCGTTCTGGAAGCCGAGGAGGTCAAGGAGGTAGAATCCGACGATGATGATCGCGATGAGGTCGTCATCGTCGAGAAATTCCCCGACGTCGGCACGCGCGTGAAGAAACGCTTCGGGTCCAAGTCCAGTCGCCGGTGGTGCGAGGGCGCGGTGACGAAAGTCGACGCCGGCGACGACGCGCCCGTGACGGTGACGTTCGACGACGGCGACGTCGAGCGGCTCACCGTCGCGCGGTACGAATGCGAGTGCGTCGCGCTCCCGGCGTCGCGCACGAAGAAGCTGAAGTGCGTATACTGTGCGCACGTCCTGTCGGTGACGTATAAGGAGACCGAGCGCGACGACTTCACGTTCGAGTGTCCGTACGAAGGATGCGGGAGACCGCTGCGCCTCCCTCGAAAGAAAGAGTGAATGAATAGTAAGGTCAGGGCTCGCGTCGTTAATAAAGATACGAACGAGACGAACACGACTACTTCTTCTCCTTCTTCGCCTTCTTGTCCTTCTTCGTCTTCTTCGCGTCGCGCGACCCCCCGGGCGACCGGCTCCTCGATCGACTCCTCGACCCGCTCCGATCTCGCGACCGCTTCCCCCCGCGGTCGCCCCTCCCGCCGCCGCCGCGATCGCCGCCGCGATCGAGCCCGTCCTCGATCAGCTCGTCCAACAGCGCCTCGCCCTCCTCCAACGCCTCCCTCGCCTTCGCCTCCCTCGCCGCGAGCTTCGCCGTCCACTCCGCGAAGATCGCCTCGCACTTCTCCGGATACCCCGGCGCGCTCTGCCGCCCGTCCTCTGTCGCGTCGCGCCCGCGGACGGCGCGGATCCAATCGCGATCCTCGCCCAGCGCCGCCTCCGCCTCCTCCCACGTCGTCGACCCTCGCACCTCCCTCCGCGCGCTCTTTATGAGCCGCGCGAAGTCGTCGAGCGCCCTGGCCTCGCGCTTGGCGTCGACGCGCGCGCGCTCCTTCGCGCACGCGACCGCGTCCGCGCACGCGCGCGCGAGCGACGCCTCCGGAAGCGGAAGCGACGATCCCGGGTGAGGTTGATTCGTCATCTTATCGCGCACCGCGTCGGCGAGCGCCGCAACGTCCGTCTCCGCCGTGACCTCCATCCCGCCGCACGCCACTCTCGCGGTCTCGATCACGGCGTCGCGCTCCTTCGCGGCGTCCGCCTCGAGCTTCTCCTGCGCGTCCTCGTACAGCTCCTTCGGGCGGCTTCCGCTGAAGTTTTCGCACGCCGCGATGTACCGCAAATCGTCCGAAACCGACTTCGCGAAGGTCCGCCACGGCATCCTCAGCGTGATCAACCCCGCGCCGACGCGCTCGTCGATCATCTCAACAAACGCCTCGCGGTTCTTCCGTTCCGTCCGCAGCCGCTCGATCCGTTCCGTCTCTCGGTCGTCCGCCTCTTTCTTCTCCAGCTCCTCCATCAACGCGACGAACGTCTCGAGTCGGTCGACGCGATCGCACGCGGGCGACCTCGGATCGTTCGCGCACTGCTCGTGCACTTTCCTCCACACGCTCGTGACCTTCACGCCGCGCTCTACGAGAAGTTCGCGGTACGCCGCCGTCGTCTCTTTCCTCCGTATCCGCCGCTCCTCGCGCTCGGTCGCGCGTTGGTCGTCGAGGAACTCGCGAAATAAATCCTCGCGGTCGCGCGGCGTCTTCACCGCGAGCCACCGCGCGTCCTCCACCAGGTCCTCCGCGATGTCCTTCAGCCGCGTGCTCTGCGTCACCCACCCGAGCTCGTCCGCGCGCTCGCGCAGCATGGTCTTGAACGCCTCGCGCGTCGCCTTCTCCGCGAGCCGTTTCTCCTCGCGGTCTTGCTTGGCCTTTTGCGTCTGCCACTCGTTGAAGCACTGTTTCTTTTCTCCGAGCGTCTTGAGCGCGCCGTAGCGTTCGTCTTGGATGATGAGGCGCATCGCGTCCTCCCACTTCATCCCCGCGGTCGCGTTCTTGTCGCTGAGGAGCTCCTTGAAGGCGTTCTTCGCTTCGTCTTTGTTCGCGTACGTTCGCGGCGCGGCGGACGGAGCGGCGGCGGCGGCTGCAGGAGCGGCGGCCGGAGCGGCCGGAACCGCCGAGCGACCGTTCGCCCTCGGCTTCGCGCCGCCGCCCCCGCCCCCCCCTCCCGCCGCGGCAGCCTTCACCGCCGCCTGCGCGATCGCCGCCGCCTCCCGCACGACCCTGAGCTCGTCCGGGATCTGCCACTTTGTCTCCTTCGTGTCCTTGTGGTAGTAGTACGACCGTCCGTCCGCGGCGACGTGCTCCCTCCATCGCGTCGTCGCGTCCGCGCGCTCCGTCGGCGTCATCAGCGCTTCCGGCTTCTCGTACGTGCTCTGCCGCGTGAGCGCGTTGAAGAAGTACTCGCGACCGTCCGCGCCGCGGTGGGCGGTCCAGTCCGCCGCGCCGGGCGCGGGCGCGGGCGCGGCGGGCGGGATCGGCGGCGCGCCGACGCCCGCGGCGGATCTGTTGGCGCCGGGCGGCCCGGGAGGCGTCGGGAGGGTCCCGGGGGGCGTTCCGCCGGGCGGCGGCGCGCCAGCCCCGGGCGCGGTCATCCACGCCGGCAGCGTCGCGGCCCTACCGCGTCCGGCCATGGCGCGAGGGCGCGTCGAACCCTCTTAGATCTCACCGAGCGCGCCGCGGCCTCGGCGATCGGATCAGTGCCGCGATAATTCGCTTCGATCGGCTTCCAGTCGTCCGTCTTCAAGTTTTGCTTTGTTCGTCGACTGACTCGTTGTACTGTAATCCTTCTTATCCGAAGTAAGATTCGTAACGCGACTGCGACTGATCGAACGAGCGCGTTTAAATGTAATAATACAGTACGGCATTCATCTCCCCCTCCCCTAAGCGCATGATGCGGTTGTTGGGGGACTACTTCCTCTTCTCGGACCCCGCGCGCCTCCTCTTCGTCGTCTCCGCCTTCTCCTACGGCGTCTTCTTCTTCTTGCTCAGCGTCTCGGACCTCTTCTTCTGCGTCTCCGCCTTCTCCGCCACGGTCTTCTTGCTCAGCGTCTTGCTCAGCGTCGCGAGCATCTTCTTCTTCGTCTCCGCCTTCTCCGCCACGGTCTTCTTGCTCAGCGTCTTGCTCAGCGACGCGAGCCTCTTCTTCTCCGTCGCCGCCTTCTCCGCGTCGGTCTTCTTGCTCAGCGTCTTGCTCAGCGTCGCGAGCATCTTCTTCTTCGACGCCGCCTTCTCCGCGTCGGTCTTCTTGCTCAGGTTCTTGCTCCGCGACGCGAGCCTCTTCTTCTCCGACGCCGCCTTCTCCGCGTCGGTCTTCTTGCTCAGCGACGCGAGCCTCTTCTCCTCCGTCGCCGCCTTCTCCGCGTCGGTCTTCTTGCTCAGCGTCTCGATAAACTTCTCCTTCGACGCCGCCTTCTCCGGGGCGGTCTTCTTGCTCACCGTCGCGAGCATCTTCTCCTTCGACGCCGCCTTCTCCGCGGCGGTCTTCTTGCTCAGCGTCTCGATCCTCTTCTCCTTCGACGCCGCCTTCTTTCTCTTCTTCAGTCCGCGCGTCCCCACCCCGGGCGCGTTCTTCGACTGGCCCGTCACCTTCCAGTACTGCTGCCCCTCCTTGATCCTCTCGGAGAACCACGCCGCCATCTCCGGCGTGATCTCGAGCAGGCGGCCGTCCTCCATGAACTTCGCCAAGAGCGTGTCGAAGGTGCCCTCCGGCCCGCCGAAGTGCACGAACAAGTCCGCCATGCTTCGGATGAAGCGCTCCGTGAGCCATTGCGTCGACCTGATGGACGTCGCCAAGCACATGTGACCGGACTTGGTGTGGACATCACCGTCCAGCTCGGGCCACAGGGCGCGCTCCGCGGGCATATCCGCAGGGCAGTGCTTCGCCATCCATTCGCGTGCCTGTGAACGGTCGGGGGAGGAAGGGGCGCGCGCGTCAGTCAGAAAACAAGATCGGGGCGTTGCAGCGCAGCGTCGTCGAAAAAGTCGAGGGGCGTGGGAAAGAAGGAACTCACCGGCCGACCGAAGCCCCCCGCGCGTTCGGGCGTCCCGCAGGCGTTCAACGCCTCGACGATCAAGTCCTCGATCAACTTCCTCTCGCGCGTCTCGACGCCTTTCAAGATGATCTTGCCGGCGTCGTGACGCCCTGGCCAGGGAATCATGTTTGTCATGAGAAACGAAGGCGCGCGAGCGCGACCGGCCGCGGGCGTGTCACCGATGTGAACAAAAAACCAGTCCCAGACGTCGGAAACGAGCCGCTTCCCGTCGGCGCGGAGCTTTCGCAAGTTCCCGCGGAGTCCGATCCCGTCGGTCTCGAAGTGCCCGATGATGACGTTGAACTCCTCCTTGAGGCCGCTCTCGTTCCACTCCGCGTCCTCGGGAAGAAGAATCCGCCTGAAGTGCAGCTTGCGGCCGAGGAACTCGCCGATGGCGTCGACGAGTTTCTCCAAGTCGCGCTGCGCGGCGTCGAACTTTTCCTTCGGAGAGAGCTTGCACGACGGATCCGCGCGCGCTTCGAAGCGGTCGCGGATGTCCTGGACCGTGGCATTGAACTTCTTTTGCTTCGCGCTCGGTTCAACGACGCGCGTCCTGCCTTGCGCTCTCTTCCTAGCGACCATGGTGGCCGAAGCGCGCCTGTGGACGAGCGGCGGAGGACGGACGTATGGTGACGCGCGAAAAAAACGGCGATGGCGAGATTCGCGGAAAAGCGATCGAGGCGCGGCGAGGGGAAGCCGCGCGCGCGTCGGCCGCGGTCGCGCGCGTCCGTCGCGCGCCCGACGGCGCCGCGCGCGCGCGCGCTTGGATTCGACGCGGGGAAGGAGTCGAGCGCGCGCAACTGAGGGTGCGCGTGCCGCGGGGAGCGAACAGTGACGGACCGCGCGCGGAGCGGCGGTTCGGGCGACGAAAAAAAAGCTGTCAAGTTCGCGTTCAGTTCACAGTTCACAGCTGTACGTGTACACGTACACACTCGTCGCCCCGACGCGTCCTCCTCGTCAGTGTCTCGCCTAGGATTGGAGTCGAAGCCGGAGACGTATTACGCTCGCTATTCCTAAAACGGGTTCGTCTTCGTGGACACCGGCGGCGCTTTCGCGACCGCCTTCGCCGTGACGTCCGCGAGATGTCTGCCCTTGTGATACAGCTCCGGGCACCACCGGCGCTTGTACTCGTCCCTCGCCTCGGTCTCCGCGTTGAACACCGCGTTGAGAAAATCGTCGCGCGTCGTCCCCGGTCGCGCTTCCCAAATCGCGCGATTCCGACGCCGCGGCTTGAACACCGGCTCTTTCCTATCCTCGAAGTCGCTCCTCCACAGGCTCCGCGTGGCGAGTTCGCCCTCCTCGCGAACCGACGCCCACCGCCCGAACCGCCGCGCGTCCATGCGCGGGTTCCCAAACTCCGCGTCCCAGCGCGCGAGTTCAGTCTCGAGCTCCAACGCGAGCAGTTCCTCTTCCAGTTCGCGCTTAGGGCCATTCCATACAAGCGAACGTCGGGGTGGAGTTCAAACGCGTCAGTTGGAGTTGAAAGGCGGCGAGGGCGGGCGTTGAAAGCGAGGGGTGGGCGGAGAGATGCGCCGGGAAAAGTCCTTAAGGATCGGCGTTCACCACGCGGACGCGGTCGTATGGGGACCAGTGTATAGAACGCGCCTTAACGCGTCGTCGTCCAGCCGCGGCGACGCGAACGCCGCCGCGTCCACGTTGTGCATCAGAAACGCTCCCCTCAGGTGCGTTAACCCGAACCGCTTCAGCGCGGCGAACACGGGGGCGTACTCCGAGAGCCCCGCGACGGATTCCTCCGTGAGATGCTCCGCGGTCTTCGAGCGCCACACGAGCTCGACGACGTTTGATGATTTTCCCGCGAGCTCGCGCTCGACCCAGTCGTGCGATCCCCACACGTCCGTGATGACCTCGCCGTTCGGCCCGCGTCGCGCGCTCAGGACGCAGTACGTCGCCGCGCACTTCCGCATCGTCTCCGCCGCGCGCTTCGCGTGGGCGATTACCTTGCGGTGCGTCGCCGCGCGCCACTCCCCGTCCGCGTTCGCGACGGCGATCTGTCTGCGGCGCTTCTTCGCGCCGACGTTTCCCGCGACGTCGCGGCACGCGCAATCGCATCGCGCGTCGCGGCAGGTCGCGCTTCTCGGGTGGCGGTCGTGCCCGCACGCGACGCACGTCACCGACGTCGGCGGGCGTTTGCCGCCGCCGCCGCCGCCGCCGGCGGCGGCGGCGCTCGAGCTCGCCGGCGCTCGCATGCGGCGCGCGGGGGCGAGTGATGAAGATACCTCGGCGTAAACAACGCGGTTTTCTCAGAAGAGCCGGCTCCGCTCCGCGCCGTCACGCATTCGGCCGCCGCGCGAGCACGGCGTCCGCGCGCGGAACCCCGAGCGCGGCGTTCCCGCGCGCGAACGCTCCCGCGACGCCATGGTCGTCCAGGTCCCGGTCATGTCGCAAGGTACCCCCACACACACACCCCGGCGACGGACGTCGCGCCGCCGTCCCTCGACCCGCGCGCCGAAACCCGCCACCCATCCATCGGGTGCCCTCATCCAGCGCCACCACCGCGAAAAGCGCCCTCGTCGACACGTCGACATCTCGCGTCCACTCACCCTCTTCTCCTCCCCCCGCGTCCACTCACCCTCTTCCCCTCTTCTCCGCCTCCCCCCCCCCCCCCCCCC